TCTCTCTCACACACACACACACACGATGAGATAAAATTATGCATTCTCAATATTGTTAAGAATGTTGTTGAAGCCCCAACCCCCAGTACTTCAGTAGGACCCCCAAGAGGTGAAAATTCATCTTGGGAAGCAAAAAAACCATCTTACTCTTTATGTATAAAACACAGATATATATATATATGTTGTGTGTGTATATATATATGTTGTATATATTATACACACAGAGTTTGTACAGACATATATTACATACTTTATATTTGTGATACTAAAACTTCATGGGGTGGGGTCAGGTGTGGTGGCTCACACCTGTAATCCCAGCACTTTGGGAAGCCAGGGTGGGAAGATCACTTGAGCCCAGGAGTTCAAGACCAGCCTGGGCAACATGATGAGACCCCATCTCTAAAAACAAAACTTCATGGGGGGAGGTGATTAGGAAAATAACGTCTAAAAAGACTCTCTAGGGGGATGACAAGGAAAGACAAAAGGTTGGGAAACGCTAGACTTGGTGATCTAGAAGGGTCCTTGTTCTAGATCCAAATCTAGAAGGTCTGACGGTCTATGACTGTAACTCTGCGGGAGAGTGTTGGTGGGAATCGCGGAGGGAAGAGTGTTCTAGGAACAGGGAACAGCACAAGCTGAAAACCTCAGATGGGAATGAGCCTGGGTTATGGGCTGGACTGTGTGCCCATCTAGCAGCTGAAATAGCTCAGATGGGAGAGTGTTTGACCGAACTATGTCCCCCTAAAATTCATGTGTTGAAGTCCCAACCCCCAGTACCTCGGAATGTGACTGTATTTGAAGGTAAGGTGTTGAAAGAGGTGATGAAGTTTAAATGAGACCATTAGGGTGGGGCCCTAATCCGACAGGACTGGTGTCCTTATAAAAAGAGGAAGAGGCAGCTGGGGTGCATGTGCATAGCGACAAGACCACATGAAGATACAGGAAGAGGCTGGGTATGGTGGCTTACACCTGTAATCCCAGCACTTCGGGAGGCCGAGGCGGGCAGATCACCTGAGGTCAGGAGTTCGAGATCAACCTGGCCAACATGGCGAAACACTGTCTCTACTAAATATACAAAAATTAGCCAGGTGTGGTGGCACATGCCTGTAATTCCAGCTACTCGGGAGGTTGAAGCAGGAGAATCTCTTAAACCTGGGAGGTGGAGACTGTAATGAGCCATGATCTCACCACTGCACTCCAGCCTGGGCAACAGAGTGAGACTCTATCTCAAAAATAATAAAAATAAAAATAAAAGAAGGTGCAGGGAGAAAGGGGTCATCTAAGAGCCAAGGAGAGAGTCCTCAGGAGAAACCAGTCTTGCCAACACCTCGATCTTGGTCTCCAGCCTCAAGAACTATGAGAAATATTTCTGTGGTTTAAGTCACCCAGGCTGTGGTATTGTGTTATAGCAACTGGCGCAGACTCATACACTTGCCGTCTTCTTCTTCTTCTTTGTTTTTTTAAATACAGAGACAGGGTCTTGCTATTTTGCCCAGGTTAGTCTCAAACTCCTGGGCTCAAGTGATTCTCCCACTTCAGCTTCCCAAAGTGCTGGGAT